CGGCCCGCAGCCCGTCCTACCGGCTCAGGGAGCCTCTGGGGTCCCGGCTCCGCACCCCTGGGGTGTGAAGCGCGGTTCGCTCTTTGGCCTGGGCTGAGGTGACTCAAGGCTCGGCCTCCCGCGCCCCGGGAGGGGCCGGGCGCGTACCTTGTCGTTTGAAAAGGCGCAAGGAAGTAGTTTTAACTTCAGCCTCGGAAGCGGTGTCCTAAGTGAGTAACTGTGGAGCGCCGCTGTACAGAATGTCCTGCTTCTAGCTGCTTTCCTGACTTCTGTTAGCCCTGCACAACAGGGAGTCGCTAAGTAAGATTACGCTGCCCGTCTCCCCATCTCTGCAGTCATTTTATTTTACATTATTCTGTCACTGAAGACCACGGAAAGTACAAGAACAGGGAACGCTGTGGGGTTTTTTTGAGGAAAAAAGTGCCCGGGGAGTGATGTGCCATGGATTTACAGACATCTTCCCAGAGACTGGTTGGTTCCATGAGGAGAGTGAACTGATCTTAATTCTGTACAGCAGGGTTTGTTTGTTGTTGGTTTTGTGTGTGTGTGTGTTTTGTGTTTTGTTGGTGAGTTTTATTGCTTTCTGGTTTTTTGCTTGTTTGGTGTTTGTGTGTTTGTTGGGGGGTGTTTGTTGTTGGGGTTTTTTTTAATATCTGCTGTAAAAACACACTCCTCAGCGAGTGCTGCAAATCGTCACCACTAGCTTTGGGTACTGTAGTGACCCTTTCGCTCTGGAGAAAAAACACAGGTGTTTGAAATGTTCATCTTGGCATCAAAATGCATTGTCAAAAGTTTTGAGGCAAGATATTTTGAAAAACAGCCTCAGAGTGACATGAGTCATAAATAATTACATGTAACTTTGTTTCTGATTACTTCATTTGTTGGTCAGCCATCAAAAGGAGACAGATGTTCCTACCCAGAACATGTTAGTCCAAACGAGGATTTGCTGTCAAATAAGCATTGGTTTGTATTACATAAAAGCAAGCACATAAGTGTTCTTGATTTATTTAGTATTGTTTTATGCTTTGTGATATTTTCTCTTTAAATCATTATGTGTGTGTATGTTAACTAATAAGTGAAAAGGTTTTCTGGACTTTGGAGAATGTCTGACAGTCTATTTTTTGTCCATGAAAATGCTGTTATTTAGTGTTTGCCGTCCTTAATCCTCACCTTGTTTGAAAAAACAGGAGGTGCTGTTGTCATATGGCAGAAAGAGTTTAGATGCGCTTTGTCTTTGTGAAGTGTCTTGTTGCTGTGAGTGACTGAATCATGGTAGTTGAGTGTTCCACGTTTGGGAGATTGGTTGCCATCCTCTTTTTATGTCTGTCACACTGCGTTCTCCCTATGTTTCTCTACTACCATTGACATTCAGTGCACATACAGAATTTGATGCCACACAGAGCTCAGTCCTGAGAACTAAAAATTGCAAGCATCACAGTTCACCTGGTAACACTGAGAATGCCATGTGATCAATGACACTTTCCGTTTTGTGAGAGGAATAATTACTGAAGGAGAGAGCAAATTTGGTAGCTAAGTCCCATTTTCTGTGCCTCCTTGGTGCAGCTGGGCTCCCCTCCTACTCCTGCTGTCCCCTGCAGTTGGTGAAGGTCGCATGGAACATGTGACAGAGGATAGTTCTGTATTTGATGTTCTTTTAGTAGAAGCACTGCCTTCCCTTGTGTTTGTCCTCCATTCCTGCCCAGGAAGCTGATGTACCTCTGCACTGCACCATGGCATGACTTGGAGGCTCAGCACTGATAATACGCAACTAAGCAGACAAATTGTATCTCTCAGCTTTTTGGTAGATAAGCCATTCAGTACAGCACTCTGTCTGATTCCAACCTGCACTTTTCTTAACTTTCAGCAGCTGGTAAAACATGTTTGTTGCATTTTCTAGTATTAGGCTAAAGAATGTGAGCCTGATGCCTTCTTGCTGCTTTTAGTGTCTGCATCACTTTTTCCCTGCAAACACAGTGCTGTAAGCCTGGAGTGACCAACTCTGGATTGGAAAAGTGATACCTGTCAGGAGCAGAGTACCAAGAAACACTTCAGCTGTTGAATCTTGAACAGACTCAGTGGAAATAATTGAAAATAGCAGCAACATTTTAGGCCTCGGAAGGCTTAGATGCAGATTTAAAGGCATGTCTCAGTTGGCAGTTTAAAGGAAGCATTAGTTACACCGTTATGTTTGGATTTGCTTCCCACCTCTAGTTTTATTTTTACGTACAATTGTGAAAATGTGCTGATGCACGGAGTTTGCACTTCTCTGTGAATGTGTTTTGTTAGCTTTCATGGTTGCCATTATTGCTGTGTAAAATGTTAGAGGCAAAAATAAAGAAAATATTTCAGTGTTTCTGGTTTGGGTGCTTTTTTTCCCCTCTCTCAAATTCAGAGACCCTTAACAGTTATGCTGGGGACATTTGGCTGAAGAATGGCCCACAGGCATGGACTGGCAGAAGTAATGTTGCAGTGCAAAGAGCATACCCAGGGTGCTGCGTTGCCACGACAGGAGCATGAGCTCAGCAGACAGCTTTCTGCTGTGCTGTGTGTCACTGGCCTGTGTGGCCAACCTTTGGCAAGACACAGGTCCTGTAGCATTGATGAGTCATGCTGTGATGCTGTTCTCTCAGCCTCTTCTTGTCTGCTGCAGCTGGCTGTTAGGTTGTATTATCTGTACCCTCTGACTGCATCCTTAGTCTTCATAACAGTACATGCCACAAATCCCTTCATAGGAGTATAGGTGTGATAGATACTGCAGTAGGAGATAATAAAATCTGTTTTCTGCATTGGGTTTTTTTAGGAAAACATGTTGGAATGACTTTCATGTGTAAGTAACGTAGCAACTGCTAGACTTGAGGATAAACATAAAGATAAATCAGTTTATGAAGCTTAGTGCTGACAAATAGTTGTGAAAGCCTGTAGCTTCTCATGTTCTTGATCTCCTGTCTCACATGGTGAAGGCCGTTCCTGCTTGGCTAGTGTCCAGGCTGGCAAGGTAGCTTGCAGGGATCTGTGTAAAGGTAGAGAGAGATTTCTTCACAAGAGCTTTAGCAATTAGTATTAAAGCAGTTAATTATTTATGCTTAGATACTTCCTGCTTTTCCAGCCACTTCCCCATACTGACATACCTTGATGATTTTCCAAGAAACTATTTCCATTACAGTGAATAAACATCTCAGTAGAAACATAATTTAATTTTTATTAAATATGCAGGATCATTTGAATTTACAATCCAAGTTTTGTTGGAATACGAGATTGGAATGACAGTTAAGAAACTCTAAAAAAATCTTCCCTTTCACATCACAGTGTGATTGTAGGCTCATAATTTCACCAGGTTTACCTCTGGCAGTGACATTTCTAAAGAACAGTTTCCCAGTGGGATAGCCAGCAGTGTCTACTATTCCTGAAGCATTACTAGAAAACATATTATGCTATAATATTATTCATAGAAGCTTCTCTCTATAATTAAAGTAAACCAGACAGAAAGAAAACCTGAAAACCTATTGGGGCTGCTATAAGGAAATACAAAAATACTTTGTAAAGTCCCTCTTTTTTCTCAAATCATAGAAAAAATGGTTCTCTCTTACGTGTCAAGAATGAGGGGGAGGTTCTGTTTTCACTGATACAAAAAAGAGACCATTCCTAGACAGCATCCAGTCAACAACAACCTGAGGGTCACACAGCCATACCTCTTGTACCACCATTTATTTTCACTCATCAGCACTAGTCTGGATGGACTCTCAGCTTGATAAGTTCTGCACTGGTACATAAGAAGGTATTATTACTGCTCAAAAGCCTACATTCTGTGAGGGGGAAAAAAAAAGAAAGGGAATCTGCCTTTCTTTTTTGCTTGTCGTTGGGTAATCTCTTAATCCAGTAATTTTTTTATGAAAGTCCTGTGGGTGGAACATGGCAAAGGGCCATTTTGCAGAGATTAGATGAGAAATTGTCTGTCAAGTAACTGTATTGGGAAGGATTTTCCTGGTGTGTGGGAATGTGCAAGGAATGCCATAACAACACTTGTATGCTCATTCTGGTTATTGACTGCTGGATCAACTGTAGTGGATTTGGTGTGTGTTTTATTTCATCAGTCATTCAAAACTTTGTTAGCTAATGTTTCAAATAAAGATCAAAATATCTACAGACTACCTCTCATTTATGCTGTGTACCATTATGTTCTCCAATATGCCTTTCCTCAGCAGTCTTTGGGTCCACTTAATGAACAATGCTGTCCCTCTCATTAGCTGCCTATACTGTGAAATCCTTATCCAACAAACACACGTATGCTTAGCTTCAT